CACAAGTCCAGTGTGCTGTCCGCTCGGCCGACCGGCTACCTTAATACGGTAAGGTAATATATATTAAGGTAATATATATATATATACGATATATAAACTTTAAAATAAATATCCTATGAAATGGGTTTTATCAAATAATTATTACTTTTATCACTTATTTCCCCCTTTCTCCATTATCATTCCTATTGATTTAACTCATTATCCAATACCTTATCTCTCCTACCTCAGTTCCTCACACATCCCCAGCTTACACTCTTCCCTATTTATTCTCTTTCACATATTTACCACTTTCCCCCCTAATAATCCAGACCATTTCACCCCTCTCACCTACCCATCTCCGGCCACCATTATATCCACCATTGCCCACACTAATATAGACCCCTTTACTACCCGCCCCCCCCCCAGGTGCCGACACCGGGACTCCAGATCGTAAATAGAGAAGCTTGGCATGTGTGGAGGAGCTGGCTGCTCCCCGCCTCCACTCCTGCAGTGTTTGGGACGACGCTCATATATCTGGCACTGTGTGATGGTCTGCGAGGCCTTGTGTATGACACGGTCTTTATCTGTGTATCTGTGTGTGTGTGTGTGTGTGTGTGTACTCACCCATCTATATGTACTCACCTATATGTGCTTGCAGGATCGAGCATTGACTCTTGGATCCCGCCTTTCTAGCTATCGGTTGTTTACAGCAATGACTCCTGTCCCATTTCCCTATCATACCTAGTTTTAAAAGTATGAATAGTATTTGCTTCCACAACCTGTTCCCCAAGTGCATTCCATTTTTCTACTACTCTCACGCTAAAAGAAAACTTCCTAACATCTCTGTGACTCATCTGAGTTTCCAGTTTCCACCCATGTCCCCTCGTTCTGTTATTATTACGTGTGAACATTTCATCTATTTCCACTTTGTCAATTCCCCTGAGTATTTTATATGTCCCTATCATATCTCCTCTCTCCCTTCTTTTCTCTAGTGTCGTAAGGTTCAGTTCCTTCAGCCGCTCTTCATATCCCATCCCTCGTAGCTCTGGGACAAGCCTCGTCGCAAACCTCTGAACCTTCTCCAGTTTCTTTATGTGTTTCTTCAGGTGGGGGCTCCATGATGGCGCGGCATACTCTAAGACGGGTCTCACGTAGGCAGTGTAAAGCGCCCTAAAGCTTCCTCATTTAGGTTTCTGAATGAAGTTCTAATTTTCGCCAGTGTAGAGTACGCTGCTGTCGTTATCCTATTTATATGTGCCTCAGGAGTTAGATTAGGTGTCACATCCACTCCCAGGTCTCTTTCTCGAATCGTTACAGGTAGGCTGTTCCCCTTCATTGTGTACTGTCCCTTTGGTCTCCTGTCACCTGATCCCATTTCCATAACTTTACATTTACTGGTGTTAAACTCCAGTAGCCATTTCCCTGACCATCTCTGCAGCCTGTTTAAGTCCTCTTGGAGGATCCTACAATCCTCGTCTGTCACAACTCTTCTCATTAATTTTGCGTCATCTGCAAACATTGACATGTATGATTCCACTCCTGTAAACATATCATTTACGTAAATTAGAAAGAGGATTGGTCCCAGCACCAATCCTTGAGGTACTCCACTTGTTACTGTTCGCCAGTCCGACTTTTCGCCCCTTACCATTACCCTCTGGCTCCTTCCTGTTAGGTAGTTCTTCACCCATACTAGGGCCTTTCCGCTTACTCCTGCCTGCCTCTCAAGTTTGTATAGCAGTCTCATGTGCGGTACCGTATCAAAGGCCTTTTGGCAGTCAAGAAATATGCAGTCTGCCCAGCCTTCTCTGTCCTGCCTTATCCTTGTTACTTTATCATAGAATTCTAAAAGGTTTGTTAGGCATGATTTCCCTGTCCAGAACCCATGTTGGTGCTTGTTTACAAACCCAATGCTCTCCAGGTGCTCAACAAGTCTTAGCCTAATTATTCTTTCAAGTATTTTGCAGGGGATGCTTGTCAGTGATACGGGTCTGTAGTTAAGTGCCTCCTCCCTATCACCCTTTTTGAAAATCGGTACGACATTTGCCTCCTTCCAGCAACTGGGCAATTCTCCCGACATAAGTGACTCATTAAAGATCATTGCCAGAGGCACGCTGAGAGCCTGTGCTGCCTCTTTAAGTATCCACGATGATACTTTGTCTGGTCCAACAGCTTTATTTGCATCCAGTGTTGTCAACTGTTTCATTACATCCTCTGCTGTCACCTCTATATCTGATAGTCTTTCATCTTGGGTAATCTCTTCTAACAATGGGAGCTGCTCAGGCTCGGTTGTGAACACTCCATGGAATTTTGCATTCAGTACCTCGCAGATTTCCTTGTCGCTTTCTGTATATGCCCCTTCTGTTTTCCTCAGTCTTGTCACTTGGTCATTTACCGACATCTTCCTTCTTATATGGCTATGTAGTAATTTTGGTTGCTTTTTTGCTTTGACTGCAATATCATTCTCATAATTTCTTTCCGACACCCGTCTTATGTTCATGTAATCATTCCTAGCTCTGTTGTGTGTGTGTGTGTGTGTGTGTGTGTGTGTGTGTGTGTGTGTGTGTGTGTGTGTCTGTGTGTGTGTGTGTGTGTCTGTGTGTGTGTGTATTCAACTGGTTGTGCTTGCGGGGGTTGAGCTCTGCTCTTTCGGCCCGCCTCTCAACTGTCAATCATTCAACTGTTACTAACTACTATATTTTTTCCTCCACACACACACACACACACAGGAAGCAGCCCGTAGCAGCTGTCTAACTCCCAGGTACCTATTTACTGCTAGGTAACAGGAGCATCAGGGTTAAGGAAACTCTTCCCATCTGTCTCCGTCGGGTGCGTGGATCGAACCCCGGCCCCTAGGTCCACGAGTATAGAGCGTTCTCCACTCGGCCATCCGGCCCCTGTGTGTGTAGGAGGGCACGGTGCTAGCCTAGTAGTACTTGCGTGCCTACAGGGAAGCGAGGGACAGTCTTCCTGTCCCGTTGAGCCGGTTGTGTTATAATTGAACTGTTGTGCCGTTCGAATTCTTTTGTCGAGCCCGACTTTATAGTTATTGATGAAGATGACTCCCACAGCTTCTTCTTTCAGCGCATTTCACGTTGCTGGCCTACTTGTTGAGGTTGAGCCTCCGCTTCTGTGATCGCCTTTTAACGTTCGGTCGCCTGACGGAGTGAACTTTATCGTACATGTTTTTGAAACGATGTATTCAATCAAGGTCAGGTGGTTTAATGCCACTCTTGACACTCTGGTTACCTTGTCACTCAAAACGTTCTTCCTGGCGTCCCTTTAACTCACAAGAACGTGGTGGTGTATATATATGAGAAAATGATGAAGCCGTACGATGGGATCACTCTACCGGCTGGACCACGCTGAGCCCATCAGTAGTTTAACCAGAAGGACTGTTTAATTTACATGGAGTTGAGAAAGCACCAACTGGCACCTCACTCCAAGTCTTGAGCCCATCACCATGGTCCACCGGTATCGTACAGGTGCCAGAGGAGGTCAGGGACGCGGGTTCGATCCCATGGTTCGGTTTTGATATTTTTCTCATCTGAGCGTTTCACTTCCAGCTTCAAACAGCTCGTTCTTGGATAAAAACAAAAATATCTTCGGAATCAATTTCGTTGCAAATTGTCGAGTTTGTTTACACGTTTGGCCTGGCGTGTAAATCATGACCTGGCCTCATGTAAATCTCAGTCAAGGCTGAGATTTACATGAGGATGAGTTACCCCCTCCCCCCCCTCATCTTTCCTCCCTCCTCCGCCCACCCCAAGAGTAGCTCCTTATTCAAATTCCTTGAAGGCGGTCCTAATGTTTGTCAACTTTACATAGGTCTCTGATGTTATCGGATTTATTCATGCCTCGGGGGACAGGTTTGGTGTGATGTGCGATTCCGGGTCCATTTATTTTTTTACCCGACCCCTCCTTCCTTCAGACGACATCTTTATTACTTTTAAAAACTAGTCTCCACGAACACACTATATAAAATAAATATATAAAATATTCAGTGTCATGTACAATTGCACACACGTACAGTGTTAATATTTATAAACAGAACCGCGAGGTTGAGAGAAGAGACTGCCGGATAGGAGAGGAGAAAGGTTGCAGACATGACTATTCGCTGTTCAAACCAAATACCGACACAAGTTACGTCATGGGTGGAGCCCGAAGGCTGCCACAACCTCCTTCAGTGTGACAGTGACGAACTAGACAGTAGTATACAGGCAGAAAGTTACAATAACGTGGCTGAAAATTAAGACAACCAACCCACCCATTTGAAAAATACAAATACAAGATGAGACGACGTTTCGGTTCGTCCTGGACTCTTATATCGCGTCATGTGACGGCCCGAAACGTCGAGACGATTTTATAAATGGTCCAAAACGGACCCAAACATCATCCCTCGTCTCTCTCTCTCTCTCTCTCTCTCTCTCTCTCTCTATCTCTCTCTCTCTCTCTCCTCTCCTCTCTCTCTCTCTCTCCCCTCTCTCATGGTCCCTCTCTCTCTCTCTCTCTCATCTCCTCCTCTCTCTCTCTCTCACCTCTCTCCTCTCTCTTCTCCACCTCTCGTCTCTCGTCTCTCTTCTCGCCTCGCCCTGCATCCTTCTCTCTCATCTCTCTCTCGTCCCTCTCTCCACTCTCTCTCTCTCTCTCTCTCTCTCTCTCTCTCTCTCTCTCTCTCTCTCTCTCTCTCTCTCCTCTCTTTCCGATGTGTGGATTGCGTGTCTTAGAAAATAAAAATAATATTTTGAAGACGAATACTCTATACGGGTTTACGATTAGATACGATAAGCGATCAGGTACAAGAGAGGCGGCCGTCATACACCGGCCGCTTCAAGGAGCTGCGGCGATAGGCACACACACACAGAGTCAGGAGTCATCACCACTTACGACAGACAACTGGAAATGTGAGGCCCAGGAGCGGAAGCTCGACCCAGCAGGAATTGTCAGAATAAGGGTACATTTAGGTGCCAATTCATGTACAGTGGCATACAACACACTCAAACAACATGCATTCTATCTCTCAGAACACGCCACGGAAGAACACGCCACGGAAGAACACGCCACGGAAGAACACGCCACAGAAGAACACGCCACGGAAGAACACGCCACAGAAGAACACGCCATGGAAGAACACACCACGGAAGAACACGCCATGGAAGAACACGCCAGAGAAGAACTCGCCACGGAAGAACACGCCACAGAAGAACACGCCACGGAAGAACACGCCACGGAAGAACACGCCACAGAAGAACACGTCACGGAAGAACACGCCATGGAAGAACACGCCAGAGAAGAACTCGCCACAGAAGAACACGCCAGAGAAGAACACGCCTCAGAAGAACACGCCACGGAAGAACACGCCACGGAAGAACACGCCACGGAAGAACACGCCAGAGAAGAACACGCCTCGGAAGAACACGCCACGGAAGAACACGCCATGGAAGAACACGCCACAGAAGAACACGCCATGGAAGAACACGCTACGGAAGAACACGCCACGGAAGAACACGCTACGGAAGAACACGCCATGAAAGAACACGCCACGGAAGAACACGCCACGGAAGAACACGCCACGGAAGAACACGCCATGGAAGAACACGCCATGAAAAAACACGCCACGGAAGAACACACCACGGAAGAACACACCATGAAAGAACACACCACGGAAGAACACACCACGGAAGAACACACCATGAAAGAACACGCCACGGAAGAACACGCCACGGAAGAACACGCCACGGAAGAACACACCACGGAAGAACACACCATGAAAGAACACGCCACGGAAGAACACGCCATGAAAGAACACACCACGGAAGAACACACCATGAAAGAACACACCACGGAAGAACACACCATGAAAGAACACGCCACGGAAGAACACGCCACGGAAGAACACACCATGAAAGAACACGCCACGGAAGAACACACAATGAAAGAACACGCCACGGAAGAACACGCCACGGAAGAACACACCATGAAAGAACACGCCACGGAAGAACACACCATGAAAGAACACGCCACGGAAGAACACGCCACGGAAGAACACACCATGAAAGAACACGCCACGGAAGAACACACCATGAAAGAACACGCCACGGAAGAACACGCCACGGAAGAACACGCCACGGAAGAACACACCATGAAAGAACACGCCACGGAAGAACACACCATGAAAGAACACGCCACGGAAGAACACACCATGAAAGAACACACCACGGAAGAACACACCACGGAAGAACACACCATGAAAGAACACGCCACGGAAGAACACGCCACGGAAGAACACGCCACGGAAGAACACACCACGGAAGAACACACCATGAAAGAACACGCCACGGAAGAACACGCCATGAAAGAACACACCACGGAAGAACACACCATGAAAGAACACACCACGGAAGAACACACCATGAAAGAACACGCCACGGAAGAACACGCCACGGAAGAACACACCATGAAAGAACACGCCACGGAAGAACACACAATGAAAGAACACGCCACGGAAGAACACGCCACGGAAGAACACACCATGAAAGAACACGCCACGGAAGAACACACCATGAAAGAACACGCCACGGAAGAACACGCCACGGAAGAACACACCATGAAAGAACACGCCACGGAAGAACACACCATGAAAGAACACGCCACGGAAGAACACGCCACGGAAGAACACGCCATGGAAGAACACGCCACGGAAGAATACGCCACAGAAGAACACGCCACAGAAGAACACGCCACAGAAGAATACGCCACAGAAGAACACGCCACAGAAGAACACGCCACGGAAGAATACGCCACAGAAGAACACGCCACAGAAGAACACGCCACAGAAGAATACGCCACAGAAGAACACGCCACAGAAGAACACGCCACGGAAGAATACGCCACAGAAGAACACGCCACAGAAGAACACGACACCTCAACCGGCTGTTCTTTAGGTTTACCACTCCGTTAAAGAATCCAACCTCATCTTAACCTACCCAGAAGCGTACGAACCCAAGCAACCCACCTAACCTATCGAGGCCTCAGCGTGGGTGAAGGTAACTGCCAGCAGAAAACACTAAGTCAGTTCAGCGCTTTTGCCTTATCTTGCGTTGTTTCCTAGGATCAATTACGTCTCACCGGCCCGGTCTTCGTCCCGGCCTCCTTGCTGGTGGTCTGGTCATCTATCGGCTGCTTCACTCAGCTGCTTGCATCATGACGTACGAATCACAGCCTGGTTGATCAAGTATTCTTTGGAAGTGATTATCATTTCCTCTTAAATATAACGTCGCTTTTGGCCGTTTGCCCGTATGGGCGAAAGTGGACGTAATTTGAAAATGAAAAAAATTTAAAATAAATTTGGGATTTTTTTTTCAACAACAGTAAGCTAAGGGTCCTCTGGTAGGTTAGGTGGGCAGGAAATTCTCATAAATTTCGTTATGTTACGAAATAACGTTAATTGAAAGTTTCCTCTTCTAACATTACCGAGTAAGCCGGACAACTCAAACAGAAAACGGAACAGTACACTTTTGTGAGTCGATTTCTTTTCTAATTACGTCCACTTTTGGCCATAGCGCACACGAGCGAAAAGCGACGTTATTTTTAAGAGGACGGGTTGTCAAGACCCTTGATGTTGATGTTGATCCTTGATGTTCTTCCTCAGCTTACCTATTGCACCTCTGCATTTCTCTTTCTAATGGGGCTATTTTGCACTTCCTATGGTTTTGACTGAGGGAAGGAACGGTTGGAGCCCGACCACTTGGACCGTCGGGGATCGAACGCGGATCTGCAAGAAGCGAGAAACCCGCTGTGCCATCGAGTCATCTAAATAGTAAATAAAAATTTTTTTTTACCTTTTATGTGAACGGTAAAATTAAGTTCCTATAATTTTTTGATAATGGATTGCATTCGTAGCGTTGGTTATCATAACGTAAAGAATACGACCTATTAGTTGAGAGCATGGGTCGTTCCTCATATCACCTCACAGCAGAACTCCTCAAGCGACAACTGAACACGCTACCTCACACTAGAATCCTCCCTCACACACAACAGACCGTTCCCCCTCACAACAGAACCCTCCCCCACACAACTGAACCCTTTCCCCTCACAACACAACTACCCTCCCTCCCCCCTCACAACAGCCCACACCATGAACACCTCACCTCCCATCCCTTCTCCCGGTGAATCACGAGGCTCTGGGAACCCAACAAACAAGAAGCATCCTTAATTTGGAGCCTATCTCACCTTGGCACCTTTACCTCTACAAATGAGCTCATTAGCCCTCCCCCTTGACCACCAGTGGGCCAACACGATTGATGGAGGAGCCGAAGAACATGACGTCAGGTTCCCACCTTCTGATAAATCTTTTCTCTTGCTTTTTTACTGTACCGAGGAGGCGAGTGGACTCTACTGTACTATAGGGCGTTACAGTGGATTTGTAACCTAGACTGTAGCTGAGCTCTGAATTCTGTATATACATTTGTTGTAGCAGTATCTGATTTCTGTAGTTGTATCCTGTTGAAACTGACTATGGGATTCTCTAAGTTACAGTCACCGCTATTGTTCTGTATCCTCTCAATGCGGTGTCCGTTAACCTAATTTTCACTATATAATTAGAGCAGCGTTACATAGGTTACATAGGCCTGAATCCAGATTACAGGATTTTTTTGGATACACAAGGTTTCATAATTCAGAGAAGTCTTTTGGTATAGTTCAAAAACGCTAAAATTATGTTCAGTATGGTTCGGTCTTTCCCAGCCATCTCATATGTATGGTCGATTCCCTCACCCATCTCTCCAGATGTAGGGTCAACCCCCCACCCATCTTCCCAGGTGCAGGGTCAACCCCCCACCCATCTCCCCAGGTGCAGGGTCGACCCCCCACCCATCTCTCCAGATGTAGGGTCAACCCCCCACCCATCTTCCCAGGTGCAGGGTCGACCCCCCCACCCATCTCTCCAGATGTAGGGTCAACCCCCCACCCATCTTCCCAGGTGCAGGGTCGACCCCCCACCCATCTCTCCAGATGTAGGGTCAACCCCCCACCCATCTTCCCAGGTGCAGGGTCGACCCCCCACCCATCTCTCCAGATGTAGGGTCAACCCCCCACCCATCTTCCCAGGTGCAGGGTCGACCCCCCACCCATCTCCCCAGGTGCAGGGTCGACCCCCTTCTCAGGTGCTTGATTAGGGTGTGGGATTAGCTGGGCGGTCTATTAAAAAGTATTTACCGCGAGCATATTTACACCCAAGCTTGGTCAGATTATAAATGTACAAGCATACATATATATATATATATATTTATATATATATATATATATATATATATATATATATATATATATATATATATATATATATATATATATATATATATATATATAAACATTATTATATATTAACGTACTATGTACAGTTAGGCGCAGATTAGGTTAGGTGTTTAGGTTCTGTTGGCGATTATTTGTATTTGTAGTACGTGGGTGAAGCACTGACAGCGTTTTGGTTCGAACACAAGTCGTCAGCAAAATACTTGATCCGGAAGTGTTCGGACGTCATCAGTTGTGAGTCGTGTGTAAACCGATTTTCATTCATAAACAGCGGGGGTTTGGCGGGTGCATGGAATGACCTTTTGACTGTTTATGAGGACGGGCTGTTGTGAGAGACGTGTGTAAAGTGCTTTCATTCATGAACGGGATTTGGCAACTGGATTAACGAGCAATTGGCTGTTATTAACGAGGACGGGCTGTAAAACAGAGATCCTTTATCTTTTGACCTCAAATGTGGCGTTATTAACCTTCGTAAACTCTCGAGGTATACAGTTTATACGTAGGGGAAACCTCACCACCGCGTCTGTGAGCATGTGGGTATATCTTATAGGTATGTCCCTGAGGCAAGGGGCGTCCTCTGCTACCATTGTAGAGATTACTGTGAGGCCACGACCCTCCCTCACACTCACAGGCAGGAGCCTCCCTCACACTCACAGGCAGGAGTCTCCCTCACACTCACAGGCAGGACCCTCCCTCACACTCACAGGCAGGAGTCTCCCTCACACTCACAGGCCACGACCCTCCCTCACACTCACAGGCAGGAGTCTCCCTCACACTCACAGGCCACGACCCTCCCTCACACTCACAGGCAGGAGTCTCCCTCACACTCACAGGGTATATCACTATACTGCCCTCCACGTGTTCTAAACTGCCCCTCAACAACTGGGAAGGTGTTCACGTCGCCACAATGACACCACAGTTGAACATCTCACAGTCCTCGACCCTCTTGTTCACACACAAGTTAAATTCTCTGAATGTTGTCAGGTCACTTTAAATATTTTGTTAAATGTATATTTTTTTTCCTGATGACATATTTTAATTAGGGTTTTTATTGTCTTAGTTTATTATTTGATACTTTATAATTGTTCAACTTTTTTTAATCGTGGCTTTTAGCTCATTTTTGTTGATTAGTTTTGTTAACTTTTTGTTAGCATTGATGGAGTATTATCTCTGGACAGATTATTTTGATAAATTAAATGAAGATTTCAAAAGGACATGAAAATGTCACGAGGGAACGGTAGTGAGACGTTGAGGAACGGTACTAGGACGCAACGGAGCTCGATACGACGCAGGGGCGGTACACGAGAGGCAAGGAATCTTGCCAAAACGCAAAGGACATGGTACCATGACGCAAGAGAGATTGTCAACACGCAAATTAATGTCACTAAAATTCAAGATTTTAGCTCTACAAGACTCAAAGAAACGGTACTCGGACGCAAGGTGGCTGTATCAAGGCGCAAGGTAGCCACATCAAGACGCGAGGTAGCCGCATCAAGACGCAAGATAACCGCAACAAGACGCAAGGTAACCGCATGAAGACGCAAAGTAGCCGCATCAAGACGCAAGGTAGCCGCATCAAGACGCAAGGTAGCCGCATCAAGACGCAAGGTAGCCGCATCAAGACGCAAGATAACCGCATCAAGACGCAAGGTAGCCGCATCAAGACGCAAGGTAACCGCATGAAGACGCAAAGTAGCCGCATCAAGACGCAAGGAGGCCGCATCAAGACGCAAGGTAGCCACATCAAGACGCAAGATAGCCGCATCAAGACGCAAGGTAGCCGCATCAAGACGCAAGGTGACAGCATAAAGCTAAAGTGAAGAAGGTCACGAAGAAAGAGGAACACTAAAGAGCAAGGAAGAAACCCGCCAACAGGGCAGGTGAGGCTGAGAATGATGGAGGCAGCAGACTGCCCGAAGGTTAAGTGGTGTCGTAAAGAGGAGAAGGAGGAGGAGGAGGAAGAAGAGGAGGAGGAGGAAAAAGAGGAGGAGCAGCGAGGGAGGAAATTATCAGGAGAAAGAGCCAAACTATTTCGACTATATAGCGCCTAGAAGGGTGGTGGGGGGGGGGGGGGATCAGGATAAGGATTTGAGATGGGACAAGGAAGGGAAGGAATGGTGCCCCACCACATGGACGGTCGGGGATTGAACGCCGACCTGCATGAAGCGAGACAGTCGCTCTACCGTCCAGCCCAAGTGGTTGGACATGGTGAGGGGGAGATGGAGGGGAATGAAGAGGAGGAGGAGGAGGAGGAGGGATAAGTGCCCCCCGCTGGAGCACCAGGCTGGGACGGGTCTCTGTTGACATTCAAAGGTCTTTACTGTCGCCAGAAATGGTAGTTACGAACCCACTCACTTCCTCACACTCAATGTGCCACCTGAGCCGCACCTCACAGTGAGAGTGAGTGAGTGAGTGAGTGGGAGAGAGAGAGAGAGAGAGAGAGAGAGAGAGAGAGAGAGAGAGAGAGAGAGAGAGAGAGAGAGAGAGAGAGAGAGAGAGAGAGAGAGAGAGAGAGAGAGAGAGAGAGAGAGAGAGAGAGAGAGAGTGAGAGAGAGAGAGAGAGAGAGCAGTACCTAAGTAAGCACACGTTAAGGGGCAACTAATGGCTCACATATTCAACTTATTTTTGGTCTCGTGTGAAATGAAGAA